TCTGATTGCAGTCAGGTCTACACACATGGCTTCTGTGCCTGCAAATCTACAGTGCCTGCTAATCTCCATCCACCTCGCACTGCTGCAGGCATTGCTCTCCCCATTCATTCATTCCATGTAATCAGTCTTCCTTTTTCATGCACACCATCTTTCCCAAAAACTGAAAAAAAAAAATAGAGCACCCCCACAGGCAGGACCCTCCTAATCGTCTTGTATTGAATTGTATTATAGCTGTATTGTCTCCCTTTATATTGTTAAACGATGCAATATAGCACAATTTAAATCGTGTATAATAATGACAATAATCATCTCTGTGATCTGATATCACACGATGAATCTTGACCCAGTATTTTTCATCCTTTATTTTTGCCATCACGGAGCAGATGTTTTTCTGCTCGTCACCTCTTCGAAAAAACATCTATTTAAAAACACATCTCTCTAGCATGCAGTATTTATGCAGTCACAAATATTTTGCTTCTGGGTCATACTCACCAAGACATTTCATATATTCATCAAAATTCTTGCTGTCTACCAGCTTCCAGGTCCCCAGGAATTTTTCAACCATGGTGAAAGAGAATGAATGCAACTGCAGAGATTAGCAGACTAGCAGGGCAATGCTTTGAGTGTCAGTATATATAGCCTGGCTCTTTCTGTGATCACATGGTGCTGGAGTGTCTGCACAGTGTGCACAGCCCCTCCCAGTCTCCCTGCACCAGCCAAAGGATTGCTACTTGCACACTCTTTCTGCTCTGCAAGACTACTGTGAACCTAGCTTTGAGGAGGAAAAATCTTTCATATTATCATTGTTCTCTAGCGAATCACTATTTTCTTTTTTTAAATCCAGCATGTTGTAAGTGAGACCCAACCTAAGGATGAGCTATAGCCATGGTGTCCATTCTGTGTCCCAGAGGATGAATGTGGCCCTTTGTCACTTATTGCACACAGTAGTCTGTTTTCCTTACCTAGGTGCTTGCACAAGCCAGGAAAGGAACGTCTGTCGTCAGCAGGACAGGGATCAAGGAAAAAATCTGTCTAACAGCCTGTAAAAAACCTGATGAGATCTAATCTTTCCCCATTCTAATCAGAACTAAAAAAAAAAGATTTGAGTTTGATATAAATCGAAATTTAGTCCAGTGAAACTGTTGTCACAGTATATGGATATGTAGCCGAGAGCAGAGGCGTTACTAGAACCTTCAGGGCCCCCGGTGCAAGAAACCATGAAGGGCTCTCCTCCCCCCCCCCCCCCCCCCCGCCAG